AAAATATCTTCGATAGTTTCTTTTAAACTGAGCTTTGAACAGAGCTTAATGCAAAGCGTGACAGAAAGACAGACAGAAGGACGGAAGGATGAAAGGACGGAAGACGGACATGACAAACTCTATATGCACCGGCCATATTCATATATAAAAACAATGTAAAAAATTTTGTTTGCATGCACCCTTTCTCCATACCACCTCTTCATGTTCCAAAATTGAAGTTATAATGTCAAAAGGTTCTTAAGTTATGGTTTGGAAGTGTTTTTCTCAATTTGACCTTGAATGAAAAAAGGAGTCAAGGTCAACATTTTAGTGCAGTGCATCTTTTGTAAATGTCTTTTTTCTATGTTAGAAATTTGAAATCCCAATGTCAAAGGGTTCTCAGGTTATAGCCTGGACTATATTTTTATGTAAAGATTGACCTTGACCTTATCGAAAGGTCAAGGTAAAAAGAGTTTGGTGGCCTCAACCCCAATTCCATACCGCCTCTCCATGTTCCAAGTTTTAAGTCTTAATGTTAAAGGGTTGTCAAGTTAAGGCTCGGACAAAATTTGATTGAAGAAAAAAAAATCTGACAAAAACAATATGTAGACTAGTATAGTCTACTTTTTGCATCAAACCTGTAGGAGGAGTAGTTTTAAAAGAACATATTTGTTTCTACATTATGTAATGAAACTTTCACATAAGATTCAACTTTTCTTGCCTAGTGGTTCTTGAGAAGGAATTTTTTTCTTATACAGTAAAGCATACTTAAAGCGAAACAAGCCTATAATGAATTGACACTTACAGCAAAGCGATTTTCATTCCCCATGACTTTATAATATATTGTAAACTTAATGGATTTAAGCAATTACACTTATAATAAAGCAAAATCATCCATCCCAGGCACTTTGTTATAAGCGCGTTTTACTGTACATTCCCATGTTTACAAAACTTTGAACCCCTATTGTGGCCGCACCCTACCCCTGAAGGTCATGATTTGGACAAAATTGAATCTACACTAAGTATTGAAGTTTCACATAATTTTGAACTTTTCTGGCCCAGTGGTTCTTCAGAAGATTTTTGAAATAACGTTAATTTTTCACTCATTCTTATCTCCCCTTAAAAGAAGGTTTGGCCCTTCATTTGAACAATTGTTATGTTTTACACAAGAAAGAATATTTTGCATGAGAAATAAAACTCTTTGTGTTTCTAAACATTTCATCACACCTCTAGTGTGTTTCTTCTTATCTTAACTAAGATAATGATGATTTGATTATGACTTCAATTTTATACAGGCCTTTGTATGATAATTATACCCTGAGGGGTATGTTTACCTGTCTTCAACAAGTCAGGTGATTGTTCACAGTGAGTACTTTTCAAGCATAATTGTTATGACCAAGTTCATTTCTGCCTACTGAAAATACTGATCTTGAGCAAATTAATAAGAGTTCCAAGTGAAATTTGTAACAAACCATGTTAAAAGACTTCTGGCTGCGTCCTTTTGTAATTATAGATATATATCAAAGACAAGATAGTGAGTAAACTTTTTTTTCTGGGAGGGATAACATTCTTGCTGCAGTATGAATTAGTGTAAAATCCTAAAAAGTCATCAATTAAAAAAAATTATCTTATAATTCCACTTTAATTTTGACTCAAGTAGATGTAAGAGAGAGAGAGAGAGAGAGAGAGAGAGAGAGAGAGAGAGATTACTCCATGTATATAGCCCCATGCAAAATATATATATATCTGTGATAGCAAATTCTCAGGAGACAATTTTTGAAAAGCAATTTTCCTCCATGCATTGTTTTCAGAAAACTCAAAGCTGACAATTTGAAATTTACACCCATGTCAACATAGTGCAACTTTTTTCTATATTGATAAAAATGTATATTAAAAAAAAGTATGATTAAATAGCTAAATCAAAGTGTTTTGAATAGCAAAACCAAGCTATACCAGTATAGCTAATTCAACTACAGAGCTTAATCAATTTTAAGAGATTGTGCAAGACCTGTTTTAATTCTTAATCATTCTTAAAATATTTATATCCCCATTCCTGATTCAAGGGAGAGCTAGGCATATGACCAAAAAAGTCCATGATCTATTGATTTAATAAAGACACATGTATGTTGTGAGAAGAATGATGATGACAAGTGGGAAACGGCCGGGTTAATAAACACAAATTTTAGGAGTTTTCAACATTTAAGACCATGCAGACATAACTCCTTCCCCTTTTCCCCCTTCCCAGCCCCAGGCTCATTTATTTATACAAATTATTTATAAGTTGTTTTGGTATAAAATAAATTGTGATTATTTTACTCCGTTCTAGTCGCCCGTGTGGCGCTGTGGTTAGAACGTCTGCTCTAGAGTCGTAGAGTAAGGAGTTGATCCTTAAGTCGCGGGTTCGAATCCACTGCGGGACGTGGAGACCAGTTCTTTGGATGAGACTGTATAAACCGAGGTCCCGTGTTTCAGTAGTTGTTGGCACGAAAAAAGATCCCTCACTGCTCAATGGCCCTTAGTGTCGACCATAGGTTAAAATTTGCAGCCCTCCACCGGCAAGTGGTGGCGTCTCCATATGAGTGAAAAATTCTCGAGAAGGACGTTAAACAACAAACAAACCCCGTTCTATACTAAACGTTTAAAATAATATATTCATAATGTACTTACAGCCTGTTATAGGTACTATTAACTTCATAGAATAATAAATCCATTTAAAGCACACACTAAATATTAATAATCCCAGTGGTAATAATGATGTACATACACCATGTGCAAAACAATGATGATAACGGTAAAAGTAGTGCTCGCAATGTGACGTCATTCCACGCACGAGTCTAAATTTTTTCCAAAAAGGTGTACACTTGTAAAATTTACATTATAATTACATACAATTTTTTTTTTCATAAGTTTGTGTTATCTTTTCTAAAAATGACAGGAAAACGGGTGAATCGTTGGTGGGGTTGATTTTTGACAAAGTTGATTGCGTCAAGATTTGGAAAGGGGTTCTCCGAGTCCTACCCAAATACTGATAAAAATTTGCACAAGTTGGCAACTATTTTTTTTAAGTTCATCAAAAAAAGCTATGCACTAAAATAATAATATTTGTTATTTTGACAATAAATTCAACAAGTTCCAATTATGCGTAGAAAATTACCCCCCACCCTTTTTTTCTACACAAATCTTTCAAAAATTCTCTTTATCAGAATTTACATTATTCGGTAGTATCAGACTGGTAATGAAATATTTACATGCGCGGATCTAAAGGGGGAAGGGGATCCGGAACCTATACACGAAATCTATATACTAAAGCAACTAAAAGTTGTGTGTGTTTCACTAAAAGTTAAAAAGGACCCCCCCACCCACCCTTAGAAAACACGGACCGATGTTAAGTACATACGAAGCTTAAAAAGTGAGCGGTAAAACCCCCTCTCCCCCCCCCCCCCCACCACCACCACCATGAACTAGAATTTTTTTTTTTTTTTGCTTGTCAAGAAATTTCTGTGTTGGATCCCCCTGGAAAAAATTCTGGATCCGCATAATTTACATAAGAGACCCATATGGGCTGCATGTTCACCTGAGCATTTTATGCTTGATTTGAATGTGTGCTTCTTACCTGGTTACTAGAATTTGAAGGAGAGCAGTCAGAGCACATTTCAGGGACGTAGCAAGAAAAAAAAATTTCAACTTACCTGAAAAAATTTGACAAGCCCCCCAATTTTTTTTCAAAACTCAAAATTCCTATTTCTTGGGGGTTGGGGGGGGGGGGATTCCAACTTCTTTCAGTACTCCAATATACACTACTACGTTGACTTTATTTGACTATAATGCCACAAAAAGTGGGGAGGGGGAACCACCCGTTCATGAACATTTTCAATAATAAAAAGTTGTTTCGAAAAACGTGGGGGGGGGGGGAGGGGGGGGGCAGGCCCTCTCTGTAATTTAGTACATGTATATGAACTAATTACATACATGTAAGAGGCCATTGGGCCACATGTTCACCTAAGTATTTTATGCCCGATTTGACAAATCCCTGTATATATTTTGTGTAAATTATACATGTATTATTTTGGCCTCTTTCTTGGCCACTTTATCATGAAGTAAAGTGCATTTAAAGGCAAACACCTATTTGCGGGTATTACATGTACTGTCTTATGACAGCATCTAGTTTCTTTTGTCATAAAATATCAAGCCTTTTACTAAACGTTTAAAAATATTTATCTTATAATCAAATGTACAGATGTGAAGGAACAGAAGTGAAGCTGATCCTATGAACATGTTTTAGGCTAAGGGGAATAAATATATATATATATATATATATATATATATATATATATTTGTCACCCACTTTCGCGAAAGCGAGAGGACATTAACTCTCATTCGTCTGTCCATCTGTCAATCTATCAGTCTGCGCCTCTGTCACAAAAAAACTTTAACCTCGGTCTGAACTTTGGAATGAAAAGAAATAGGGCTTTAATATTTCATATATACATTATCTGTGACAAGACCTTACCAAATATACTATGGTTTTTGACCTCATTTTGACCTTCTCAAAATTGTTTCACATTACTTTAAATTAGTCGTAACATTTGAAAGAGAAAAGATAGGGCTTCCATATTACATATGTATATAATATATCCTGTGACAAAGCTGTTCTAAATATATATGATTTTTGACCCTTTGTCCTTGACCTTGAACTTTGTCCTACTTTTCAAAAATGTTATTTTTTATTATAACTTTTAATTGAAAAGAGGTAAGGATTTCATATTTGAAATATGCATTAATTATGACAAAATGTTGCCGAGCCCGCTGCTATGTTTTTGACCTCTTGACCTTGATATCATGTTTGACCAAATTTTCCGAAAAAATTAACTTTGGTGACTACTTTGAATGACGTATGATAGGGCGATCAAATTTTACACAGTATGCCATAAATAATGAAATTCAATCGACTTAGTCACCAAAAGCGGGGGAGCACAATTCTTTGAATTTACTTGTTTTAATTGCATTTCTTTCTTTTACAGAGAAGTCAGACGGAACATGGGATTTAGAAATAATAAGGCGCCTTCGTGAGTTTGCTTTGAAATATAAGATAAAGAACAGTAATCAATCTCAAAAGTCCATAGAAAAAAATACAAATTTGGAGCAGAGAAAACACGTATTTTTTAAAAACATCAGAGGCGGGATCAGGTGCCATAGAGGTGTGTGAATCCCCTGCCGGCCGGTCACACCCGCCTTGTGCTCCTTGGCGTGATCGGGGAAACGAGAAAGTCCGTAGAAAAACCAATTGTTCAAATAAAGGCCTAATAATTAGTATGAAAACATCAGTAAGCATTCGATTTAATGTATTTGCTGACAAGGTCATAGAACGTGCGATGATTTTAAATGGGAATGTAGAAATCCTTGTTTTATCAACCTGTTTGTAAAAAATTGCCTCTTTTAAAAAATCGTTGATAGATTTACATTTTGATATTCTGAACTGCGGATATAATTTAATAATGAAGGATATTTTTTTTTTATTATTGTTTTGATCCAAACCATCCGTTTTAAAGCCAATATTTTTCTTATACTATGGTTGATAGAATGACACTGTTTGCAGTTATAATTTTTCGTTATGCTAATGTTGACTCCCATGTGTCATAAATTATTAGGCCTTTCCATACCGAAATGACAGATTTTTCTGTTTACCTGATTGTGATAAAGAGCACATGGCAGGTGAGACAGTTCGACAGCGGATGCGTAGTCCTCCTCGGCACTTGATCCATTCCCTGATTTTTTAAAAATATGTTTGCTCTGCTTTCAATTTGCATTGTTCCGGTTGAATTTTGAGATAAGTGTTCGTTATCTTCATATTTTGCTGTACATTTTTAGTAGAACTAAAATTTATACCTGCTTCCTGTCTTTCTATAAAATTTGTTTATCATGCTCCCGTGAAACGCCTTTTTAAGCTAAGAGCACTGCATGCAGTTAACAGGAAAATTTTGATTTATTTGCTATTTGCTCAGATGATCTCCTTATTCGCTAAGGGAATTATGAATGAAGTTTTTAAACATCTTTTTTAACGTCATAATCTGTTTTATCATCTTTGTTAAATCGAATGTGGAATTGCTTGCATCCAGGTATCCGATACTATTCAACTTAGTGGAAAGCTGCAAATTACACTGAAATAAAAATAAATGGTCATTGATTTAGAAAAAAAAATAAAAAACACTAACAGCTTAATAAATCAAAGGTAACTTTTTTTTTTTTTTTTTTTTTTTTTTTTTTTTTTTTTTTGAAGAAAATTAACTACCTAGATTAATTCATATACATTGTATTTACCAAAATACTGAGTTGATAAATTGCATAAATAATACAAGGTAAACTGAATGTGTAATTTAATTTTTTAGGTCACCTGCATCACTCAGGTGATGTATTGCTACCTATTTTTGTCCGTCGTCGTTCGTGATACGTCGTTCAATCGGTCGTAAACTTTTGAACATTTTTAGCTTCTTCTCCAGAATCACTGAAGCAATTTCAAGCAATTTTGGCATATAGTATCTGAGGGTGAAGAGGAATTTTTTTTGGCCCATGTCCCCCTTTGGGCCGGACGGGTGAGGCTAAGACTATCAAAATTAATGTAATCTTTTAAAATCTTCTTCTTTACTCCTGGACATCAAGCAGTCAATGGCATGATTATAGTAATAAGCATTGAATCCTTTACCAAATTTTTGAAATTAATGTCCCCAGGATCATGGGTTCTGGCGTTAAGACAGGACTCTAATGATTATATAGTGAAAATGGATTAATTCTTTAAAAAATCTCTCCTCTGTTCCTCGGTATTTTGGCAATAAGCTAAGTACATACATATGATGAGGAAGAGCGCCTCTTCGAAATCTGTGAATGTCATGACCCCTGGGTCTGGGGTTTTGTTGTTAGGGCAGGGCTCATATGAATAGAGTGAAAATGCATTAATTCTTTATAAATTTCCTCCTCTGCTCCTGGAAACTCAGCCGATGAACTAAATACATAATTATGATGAGGAGGAGTGCCTCTATCAAAATTGTGAGTTTCATGGCCTTTGATTGAGGGGTTCTGGTGTTAGGGCAGGGCTTTAATGAATATAATGAAAATACATTTATTCTTTGAAAATCTTCTCCTCTGCTTATGGGAATTTAGCCGATGTACTAAGTACATATTTATGATCACGAAGAGTGTCCTTATCAAAATTGTGAATTTTTATTGCCCTTGGTTCAGGAGTTCTGGTGATAAGGCGGGGCTCTAATGATTATACACTTGTATTCTAAAATGCATTAATTCTTTGAAAATCTTTTCCTCGTTTCTGGGTATTAAGCGGGTGAATTAAGGGCATAGCTTACATATAATTATGATGAGGAAGAGTGTCCTTTCCAAAATTATGAATTTTATGGCCCCTAGGTTAGGGTTCTGGTATTAGGGTGAGGCTCTAAAGAATATATAGTGAACATGCATTAATTATTTGAAAATCTTCTACATGTACTCTGCTCCTTGGTATTAAGCCGATAAATTAAGTACACAGTTATGACGAGGCAGGGTGTCTCTTCTATAATTGTGAATTTCATTGCCCATGCACAGGATGAAAATACACCATTCAGTCGACGGAGTGGTAACTGAATGCCTACTTAATGAATAGTCACTGAAAGGTCACTGAGAAGATCCATTCCCGTGACCATTCCGCGATTTTTCAGTTACCATTCAGTCGACTAAATGGCAGATAACATTTCTTTTGCCTTTCAGTTATCTTTCAGTTGTATCTTTTTACCAAATAATCGGCTTATATTTTAACTCAGAAATGTTATTTCACGTTTTCGTATTAAAATAGTTTTAGATTAATCTATTTTCGAAAAAAAAAAAAAAAACTGAAAAAAACCAATGTAAGGAAAAAAAAAATGAAGAAAGCCATGGTTGCACTGCGTCTTCCAACTTGGTAGTTTGTGACCTTATCCATTACGCCATGGCGGCTTGATGAATATTACATGACTTAAAATCAATAAATTTGTAGAAATCAAATAGGGACACCCAGTTCCCTTGTTTTATCGAGGAGCTGGGCAATGTGTAGATATGCTTTTTAGCTCACCTCTACGAAGTCGAGATGAGCTTATGCTATACCCCCGGCGTCGGCGTCGGCGTTAGCGTCGGCGTCCCGGTTAAAGTTTTAGGAGCAAGTCCCATTCCCAAGTAACTATAAGCCCTACCAGGACCAAACTTGCATGGATGATGCATCTAGGGATGGACATTACCACACATGCTTCAGATGCTGAATCTGACCTAGATTTTCCAGATGAGTGACCAGGTTAAAGTTTTTGGAGCAGGTCTATTCCCAAGTAACTATAAACCCTACCTGGACCAAACTTGCATGGATGATACATCAAGGGATGGACACTACCATACTTACTTCTGATGCTGGATCTGACCTAGATTTCCAGATGAGTGACCAGGTTAAATTTTTTGGAGCAGGTCTATTCCCAAGGGAAGTATAAGTCCTACCTGAACCAAACTTGCATGGATGATGCATCTAAGGATGGATACTACCACATTTGCTTTGTATGCTGAGTCTGACCTAGATTTTCCAGATGAGTGACCAGGTTAAAGTTTTTGGAGCAGGTCCATTCCCAAGTAACTATAAGCCCTACCAGGACCAAACTTGCATGGATGATGTATCTAGGGATGGACACTACCATACTTGCTTCGGATGCTGGATCTGACCTAGATTTTCCAGATGAGTGACCAGGTTAAATTTTTTGGAGCAGGTCTATTCCCAAGTAACTATAAGTCCTACCTGGACCAAACTTGCATGGATGATACATCTAGGGATGGGTACTACAACATTTGCCTTGAGTGCTGAATCTGACCTAGATTTTCCAGATGAATGACCAGGTTAAAGTTTTTGGAGCAGGTCCATTCCCAAGTAACTTTAAGCCCTACCAGGACTAAACTTGCATGGATGATGTATATAGGGATGGACACTACCACACTTGCTTCGGATGCTAAATCTGACCTAGTTTTTTTTTTCCAGATGAGTAAATTTTAGCCATATTTTAATCAAATTAGCATGGATAATGTGTCTTAAAATGGACACTTTCAGACTTGTTTTGGATTCTGAATCTGACCTAGATTTTCCAGATTAGTGACCAGGGTAATGTTTAGGAGTAGCTATATAATATTATGGCATGTTATGATTAAACTTGCATGGATGGTGCATCTAAGGATGAAAACTTCCAGACCAAAATTTTCTTGATTAGTAAACAGGTTAAAGTTTTTGAGCAGGTCTATTTCCAAGTAACTAGAAGTCCTTAAACCAAACTTGTATAGATATTGATCTTGGAATGAACACTAACTAGAAAAAAATATGATGTGAGATTTGCAGTACTTATAGATAACCTTCGTCGAGGTGAGCTTCGTAATCTTTGATTACCTATGTATGTACATTCTATGATAGTTGCACGGATGTTTGGGACAGTCTAATTAATTACAAATCTCTTATTGGGATGATGACAATTATCGGTGACAGGAACCTGTGCTTTATTTTTCAAAGAAAAGAATCAAAATAGATCTTCACCTTGGAGAACATTGTAATTTCTCTATCTAGTAAATTTCTCTATCTAGAAAATTATGTAAAATAATTTGAAAACGATCTCCTAAAAAACTGAAATATCTATTTTAGCAATTAAGAAACAAAAGTTTCTTCCACAAGAGGCATAAATAATTCATTTTTTGTGTACAAAAATTCTGGAATGATTTCTTGTAAATGCTTAAGGAGGCTCATTACATCACTTTTTGATGACGTACTACACAAAAAATAAACCTCCATTGTTTCGTCCGTTTACCTTTTGGAATTGTACATGTTCCCTTGTTATACGATCTAAATTTTTAAAACTCTTTAAAAATAGATCAAACATGCGGAATTGTAAACAGTGAAAACAAAGTAACGGATTTGTTATGAATCATAAAGGAAGAAGAACTGTTTTCAAGGAGAGACTAAAGAGAACAACAGCCAAATCTTTGCTAAATAAGTAATGTTCAGTTTATAGCGAAAGTGGCGAGCTC